ATATATATATAACATTGAATTCGGATCTAAGAACAAAATATGAATGATCAAAAACATTTGCATGCTAAGATCAAACGGTTTTAAGCGTTCGCTACGATTTAAGCTTCTCTTTTTACTTATTTAAAAAAAAGAGATGTTTCAGAATTAAGACATAGCACGATCTATCCTTAAACTTGTGAGCGCGTCTGCTTCTCCCGATTCCGGGAGAAGTTCTAGCATCCACCCACGGAAAAACTTTCTGGAGCTGTTCTCTTCCACTAGAGGGTTTCCTCGTTAAGAGTGTGCGCGCGGATTGGCGCGCTTCCGAAGCAGTCCGTTTGAAATCCGGTGATGCGGGCGGATGTTCTCGAGCCTCATCTCCTGCCTTCGGATACGTCACTTGTCTTGAGCATGTCCAGACAAGTGATTTTATTCTTTTTCACCCTGGAACTTTACTTATTTGGTCACTGTAAGTAATCAAGATTTTTTTTTTTACTTCTTTCATTTAATTGTTTTCTTTACAGAACTCATTGTAGATGTTGGTGTCGTAAGACTATTTTTATTTTAATTATCTTGGCCCGCTTTTTAATGAACTAGAACTATCCATTATAAATTTAAAATAAATTTTATCACAGTGTGTAGTTAAAAGTTGACAAATAAAAGTAAAACTTATAAATGTTGTTAATGGTGATTAAAAAAATATAAACTCATACTAATCTTTTAAAACTTTTGAAAAGAAAGCAATGCAACAATATTTGTTTGAAAACGTTATGTGCCCTAGGGTAAAAACAAAGGCAATAATTTATTTATTGCGTCATTTTGGTCAGAGAAACTAGTACCACGCTCATGCAAATTCCTTTTCACTCGAAAGAGGAATAAACGGTCAATCCTTTTTTCTTTTTTTTCTTCTCGCATCGGAGCATTAAAAGAGGGGAATTAAAATTTTAGTTTTCGCAAAGTTGTTGGCCCATTTTATAAATTGCTTCCATATAATGTAACTTAAATCTTCAGGTATGTAAAATTAAAATGGATTTTTTTACAAAAACAGCTTTTGTTAATCTGAACAATTATATTTTCGGGTAAAGGCAATTGTAACGGACACACTATCATACTGATAAATAAAACCAATAGCTTTATAATTTTGACTTACATCAATATATAAACAATGCCAACATTTTTGTTTGGTTTGAACATACATCATTCATCTTAAAAATGACCAAATGTTTAATTTTATTCGTGGATTTATTCGGTTGTCGGATCTGGGTCAATGTATAATTTGCCATCATTTTTTGCGACGCTCTGTGTTTATACTACCAAATTTTGATGTTTTCAACTTAAAATGTTCAAGATTTAAACTAATATTATCGACATCAGTTTTATAAATACATAAAAATTCGAGTTTTGTACTTTTAAAAAAATCCTAGTACGCTCCACCCCTACATTCAACATTGTTATGTTTTTCCTGGAAAAAGGATTTTTTCTTTANAAAAAAAAAAAAAAAAAAAAAAAGAATTTTCTTCATAAAACGCATGATTATTATAATTTTATCTAGGAACATTTCGTCAATTAATTGTAACGAAATTGCTAATTTACCAGATTTAAAAGACAATATTTTTTTTTTTTTTTTTTTTTTTTTTTTTTTTTTTTTTTAAAACTTAGTAATGCTAAATTCGTAACATGATAGGAGGACTATATAAGATTTAATTTTTCTTGTTAACAATATGAAGTTATTAATTTAATCGTATAAATTTGAAGCGGTTTCTATGTAGTGAGTCTTTTACGTACTTGAAAATTTCGATATTAATTTTATGATCTTTATCTGGAGAAACCTATTTTCTCTCTCATTCTCTTATTTTTAAAATTTTATTTATCAATTTTTACTTCTAAACATTAAGTCAAAGCCGAGATTTTAAAATAATAAGATTAAATGAAAATTTTCGATAAAAATAGATAAATAGTAGTAATTTAAATTTATAGATATAAGTGCTTAAATATTAAATAACACTATCAACAAATTATGCAATTTTGAAATTAAAAATTGCTTATGGTTGGAAAATGAAATTATTTTTTTCATCACGTCAAAATTTAACTCTACCATTTCATTTCAGTGGACTGTAGATTAGCCCACACAATATTTTTTACTCTACGTTTAACAGCTAATAATTCTTGAATTAGCAATCAATAGATATGTTTTTTTTTATTTCATTGTATTTCTTGTATATTTTTCCACTCAGCTTTAGTAAATTAGCAAGTCTTTTAGTTTTTGCACAGCAATACAAAATGTAGCGCAAAGCCAAGTAAGAGTTTTGTAAAAATTCAGGATAAGTTAATAAACAAAAGTGGAACTTTCAACAAGGCAAATTTCAATTTTATAGTTTCATTTCTGCGGTATGCATAACAAGTTACAGGGTATATTTTCCTACAAGTTTAGTACGTGATTATTTTTAAACTTATTATCGAATCTAATTTTTTCAATTCATCGTATTCCTTGTAAATTTATCTACAATTCTTCGCGATTTAAAGTTCAAAATTTTACAGTTTCTGAGCAGCAAAACAAAATAAAACATAAAGTTAAATGAATAAAACACCAGTTGCTCTTCCATTTTTTAATACAGAGAAAAAGAGAAAAATTATTCTTACATAAAACTTAATTGTTACCGTCTTCATTATTTTCATTACAACCTATTTTCATAATTTGGAGTATTAAGTATGTTTAAGAAAGATATTTTACTGCAAGTGCGTAACTCTCGTTATACAAAGTCTCGTAGTGTGTTCAATATCACGTATTAGTCTTATAAGAATTTACTTTCTGTGTGAAATTTATCGATATTGTCATTTCATTTTTTTCTGGAAACTCCAGAGGCTCTGAACTCTCTTATTTATTTTTCAAGGCTATAAAATACTTGGAATTGCATTTGAATAGTCAAAAATAGCAAAAAAGAGTTAAAAATCTGCTAAATCATGAAACGTGAGAGTTTTATTTCTGACAACGTATTTGTACCTCACACCATACTTTTGCACTTTTATATTGGAATGAAAACTGGAAAAAAATGAATTTTTATCAATTTATATTACATACCTAACAAAATTTCGTTTTTGATTATGTTATAATTTCATAATCGTCGTTGAACAGCCGACCCAATTATGACTACTAATGCTCAACTCCGTAGCCTTATAATTCTGAACCCGATCCAGAAGACAAAGAAACTCCCGGATCAAGTATTGGTCGAAATTTGCCTTCATGGAGGACTTTTTGATGGGATTAGTCCGCATTTGCGTTCCATGGAGAGGAAAATCACGAAAACCTCATACGCTTAGCATAACGGCAAGGGGACTCAAACCCCTGATCCGTCTACCACCAAGGATGAAATAATTTTGTGCAAAATTATTCCATCTGCCTCAAAAATGCTCTTTTAACCCACAATTATCTTTTACTAATACCATAATGCTCCTGTTTCTTTATTATTATTAAAGCTCTAATCACCTTTATAAGTGCGTAGGGAATTTATCTTTTTTATCTTGAAATAAGTTATTTAAAACCTGTTTATCTGTGAGAAATCAAGAAAAGAATTCAAGGGTATTTGTTTACTCAAGGCTATAAAGAATTTGCTTCGTATGCGTAAACTATTTCACCAAAGCACATAGAAATTTTTTTTTTACTGACTTTTATTATTTTCTGTGAGTCAGTTCAAGATGGAAAATAACTTTTTTCCCTAGCTAAATTCTAATAAAAAAAGCTGGAGAATATTAAAATATCATAGGGAATAAACTTGCTGCAACTTTGATTAGATCCCGAGATGAACCAAATTGTTGGGCTATTTAATTCTTCTACTGCTTAGTTATAGAATAGTAAGGTAAAGCATGACTGGTGACAAAGTTAAACTTAGTACAGTTCAAAGTACCGATTTCATGGTTTAAGATATGAATCTAATTTTTTTAAAGAACGTACAGCAATGATTTAAAAAAGAAAGTACTTTCTATCGTAAATAACCTGAATCTCTATAAACTTATCTGTTAAAATTGTTTCTTGGAATCAAACTCACCGTAATAATGAGAACTATTTTAAAAAAATCATTTAATGAAATTCATTACTTCAAAGATTGAGTATGAAGCCTTTCATGTTTTATTTGAATCTGAAATTCCAGCCTTCCCGAAAATTTCAACTAATTTTTTAATGGAAACTGGCAAGCAACCGTTAAACAAAACTAGTTAGAAATTTCACCCGATAAAATGAACAATTTTAAGCTTTAACAATTTTTTTCTCTTTTTAAGAGGCTTCATTTCATTATTTGCCATTTCTTTGATAATAACTTTATGTGGTAAAGATTAGTGCTAAAATATTATAAGTGTCTTTCTGAGAGAAGCTAACTTACAGTTTTAAACTTATTATTTTTTTGTTGTCTTTAAACAATAGTAATTACTTTCTTTACGAGCGCCTTTATTTAAAAGAATCATAAAAAAAATATATATACATTAGAAAAAAATACGCAGTTTTATATTTCTATCTATATTTATTCATCAAATTTATTCGAAATATCGGAAATACGGTAGTGTATAATGCTCAAATAATTTTCTCTTCTATAATCCTTTTTATTATTTACAACATATGAAAACTTCGGCACCTTCTACAAAAATAAATCTTTTAAGATTAAGTCTGAGAGTAGATTTACATTGAATAAAAAAATTAATTATTGTTTCGATAATTTAATTTTTTAAACATTAACTATGTTGGAAGAAAAGAATACGCCTTTTTACGTTTAATATTTTTCATGATTCATACGATTTAACTGAGCGTAATAATTTTGTTCTTAACTGATTCCCTGCATTTTTGTAACTTTAGAAGATAGCATTGTAGGTTGTAATTGCTTTTATGTTTCAATTAGTTTATAAGCTATTAAATTTTCATGAGATATTTGATATTTTCTTACAAATATTTGCTACAGCTTTTTATTTTTCACAATTTCAACTCATTTCGGTATATTGTGCATTCTATTAGTTATCACGTATACTAAAAAGTATTTTTGAGAGCAACTGTTTACCAAAATATCCGAGATGGTTCAATTTCGGAATCAGACGGTGGCTAAGACGCTTCGTCAACCACTTTGAGAATCGCACCGATTGCTCTACTGGAATAAAATACTCAAGTTTTAGACAGAGCATGGATTAGAATCTTCTAGCTAATGGTTTACTGGCGAGAAGTTTTTGTGGTTTTCCACCATGTGTAGCACATGATGAAGTTAATTTAATTAAACATTTTCAATTAAGGTAATAGTTTGTCTCAATATTTGTTCAAAGAGTTTCTTTGCCATATGGATTAGTTTTAAGCTTATGAGGCTACGACCATTTATATTGAAATCCACATTAGATGTATCAGTCGGTTATGTAAAATCAGTAATAAAATAAACTAATATGCTTAACCGAATCAGCATTACCTTTTTTCTTTGGAAAATAAAGTAGAAGTATTCCTTC